TGTAACATGAACCACCAATTTGGTAATAAACAGTTTTTTGGCAAAAAGCAAACATCATACTCCACACAGTTCTATACCATAACTCTTTTATGAAATTAAAATTAACCTTTAAACACTGAGGCACTTTTGGCCACAGCAGTTCTATATATATCCTCCCAGTGACATGTTACACATCCCTCTCCATCTTCTTTACCTCTGCAGGACTTTTAGGAGTGATGCATAACTCCAAGACAAACTGAAAAATACTGGATTTTATGTATATTTCACATTGGATGATTATTCCTTTTTCTTACATTGAATTATGACATTCTAGAACTTAGTTAACTTTCTTGAATGTTTATGGGAACCTTTTGATAGAAATTTAAAGCTCAGTGCCAACTTTTCAAAATGTAAAGATCAATCATAACAGCCTCTCCTTGCTTTAAAAATCTGTACTTCAGTCTGAAAAATGTGTCTATTCCCACTGCATTTCTTGGATTATCAGAAAACCTTTAACAATTATTTAGCATTAATATTTAGATTAAAATTAAGGAGTATGTGGAGCAAACAATGCAAATTAACTCACTGAGGTAACAAGTTTTTTGTTTGTTTGTTTTTTGTTAAGCTCCTAAATCTCCCTCACCCTTAAGCTATAGACTCTAAAATCAAGATACATAATCATGGTGGAACTCTCTAAATAATGAAGATTTTAAAAAAATAATAATGATGATTATTACTGAATATATAATTAAAAATTAATTGAAAAGGGCCAAGAAGAATTTATAACATAGTATTCAGAGAGTTCATAAGAAGAGCCTAAGTGGTTGTTCTGGCTTGTGTCTAGATGTCCCTGCAAAGCCTCATGAGGTCATAGGTGGAGCTTTTCAGAGGTGACTGGATCTAGGGTGTGTGGTGCTGGGATTGATTCCTGGTGCAATGTTAGGACTAAGGGCACTAGGTGTGAGTGTTACCTGCCTTAAGGGCAGGAAACCTGGATAAAATATAAGAGACAGAAAGAGGCTTGTGGCTTTTTGGTTTGCTTGCTTGCTGCCTTCTGCCTGCCATGAACTGTTTCTCATCTGCAATGCCCTCTGCCATGGCAATCTGCCTTGGAGCCAGCCAACTATGAACTGAAATCTCAAACTGTGAGCTCAATAAACCTTTCCTCCTTTAACTTTGGGTGTCAGTATTTTGTCTCACCAAAGACAAAAGTAACTAAAACAGTGATGTATACATTATTCCACAGAAAATATCTAGAAATCTCTTCACATAAAGATGGCAAAAATCCAGGACTCAGGAAACCAGAATTCCTAATTTTTCCTTTAAGTACAACTCTAAGACATGGGGGGTCAGGGGGAGGGAAAGGAAGATAGCTAAGAATATATTTTTTCTGGAGCCATTTCATCAAACTTTGTTCCCAAGTTTAAAAATTTGCTTGAGGGCCAGGGATTCAGCTCAGTGTTTCCATCACCTGCCTCGCAAGTGCAAGGTCCTGAGTTCAATCCTCGGTACCAAAAACAAAAAATTTGCTTGACCTAAAAAAATAGGGTGTGGGGAGAATGTCTGGCCCTTTTTTTTTTTCCTTTTTTTTTGGGGGGGGCCCTTTTTCACTTAGCAGATTCATATGAGGCACAGATGTACTAGTTGAAGCCATCATGTAATGAGCAACCTTGAAGAAAAATGTTATATTTGGGCACTTTTATACACTGTTGGTGGTAGTATAAATTGCTGCAATCATTTTGGAAAGCAATTCAGCAATATGCAGTGAGACCTTTAAAAATATCTATACCCTCTAACTGTAGAGTTCTATTTCTGGGAGTCTGTTCCAAAGAACTCACCTGAAGCATGCAGAGATCATCTCCTAAATAGTATTTATGAGAGTGAATAAAGGAAAACAACCTAATATGTCACACAATAGGGAAATTAATAAATTATAGTGTATCTTTAGGACTCAGATTTTATACAGATATTTTAGAATAGGAATAGCTTTTAATTTTTTTCTTTTCCTGTTTTATTTAATGTTTAAGTAATATATATCCATGGTAAAAGAAAATTCAAAAAATAAAAATTCCATTATTCTTATACTCTATCTCCAATTCCTAACGATAACTTAGAAAGAGAAAGAAGAGGGGGCAAGGATGTGTGTAAGCTTTTAAAAATTTTCCGGGCATAAACAAACTTAAATAATAAACATTTACAAGTAATATATAGGTTAACAACAACATACAGGTAATCTTTTGTTTTTAGTACAAGTAGAATGGTGCTAAGTATGTTGTTCTTCAACCTGCCTCTTATATTTTAGCTATAGTTCCATCTCAGTATATATAGATCTTTATTACTATAATCATTGTTATTATTATTATTATTTTGTAGTACTGGGAATAGAACCAGAGGCCTCTGCCCCAAACTACATCCTCCACCCTTTCCCCTTTATTTTGAGACAGAATCTCATGAAGTTGCTGAGTTTCCCAGGCTGGGCTCTATATTATGATCCTTCTTCCTCAGCCTCCCTTTGTGCTGGGGTTACAGGCATGCACCAACAAGGCCAGCTTGTCTAATTCATTTAAATGTGTGTTTCAATATATATACCAGACCTCAGATTGATACTTAGGCTGTTTAGATTTTTCTGCTTGTAACAATGCAATGATTAACACATCTGAATGTACAACTTTACATAACAGTATGAACTAACATGTTAATTCCTATAATTTCAACATTTATTTCTTTATTTATTCATTTTTGAGACCGGCTCTTGGTATGTAGTTCAGGCTGCCCTTGAACTCACTATGTACCCCAGGCTGGCCTCAAACTCTTGGTGATCCTCCTGCCTCAGCCTCCCGATTGTTGGCATTACAGGTGTGTGCCACCATGTCCAGTCTCAACATTTTAGTTATTGAAAGTTATACCTAAACCACCTACCAAAAATACTGCATTAATACCATTCTTCCTCTTCCTTTGATCAGACTATACACTAGATAATATTAACTTTTAAATCTCTGCCACTCAGGAAGATATGTTTTGATTTGAATAACTATGATTAAGGTTAAACCTCTTTCCTATTATATGGTTTGTCTTTTTGTATAGACTTATAAGAGTTCTTGATACAGTCAGGAAATTAGTCCTTGTTATAACATTTTTACAGTTTGTTATTATCTTTTGACAATGTTTGCAGTTTTTTTGTTCATTTTTTTGTGGTACTAGGGATTGAACTACGGGGCCTTTGCACTGAGCTATAACCCTGAGTACTGGGATAATAGGCATGTACCACACATCTGGCTTGGTTTTTGGTTTTTTTGAGTCAGGGTCTCGCTATGTGGTCCAGGCTGTCATTGAATTCACTAAGTTGTCTAGGCTGGCCTCTGAACTCTCAATTCTTCTGCCTCCAACTCCCAAGTGCTGGGATCTTATATGTGCACCACTGTGCCCTACATGTTTACAGTATTTTTTACTGTCTAGCAAATTGCTTTATTTTTCCCTCCTGAATTTTATATAAGCTTCAAGTTCCTTCTGGTCTCAAATATATAATTGCTATGTAGGACTTCTTCTACTCTTTTTATAATTTTATTTTTATTCAGTTTTGAACAACTAAATTAAAATGTAGTCATTAATAATTACACAGTTGGAATTCAATTAAATAAAACAGAAAAACATTGGAAGGAAATAAAACACTGACAATGATTATTACTGAATAATAGGATTATTTACATGCTTTTTCTTCCCTGTGCTTTCCAAATATTTTTACAATGAATACATATTACTTTTTTTTTTGGTATGGGGAATTAAACTCAGGACCTTATGCTTGGTAGGCAGGCATAGCACCACTGAGCTAAATCCCCGGCCAGAACACATACTACTTTTATAAAATGCAATCTATCTCTTTCTCTCTGTCTCTGTCTCCTTGTCTCTCTCTTTCTGTACTAGGGATTGAACCCAAGGCTGTCACATTGAGCCTTTGTCAATACTACTGACTCAAAGACTCTCTCATGTATATAAAAGATACAGAATATTTTTGCATATCATCCCAGCACTTGGGAGGCTGAGACAGGAGGACTGCCACAAGATCAAGGCCACCTTGTGCTACATAGTAAAAACTTGTCTTGAGCCGGGGATTTAGCTCAGTGTTCCGCCACCTGCCTTG